TGAAACCTAATGCCCAAGGTGATGGCATTAGGAGGTAGGGCTTTGGAAGGCTCTGCCCTCATGATTGGGATTAAAGTCCATATAAAAGAGACCCCAGGGTGCTAGCTTGTCCCTCCCACCCTGTGACGACACAGAGAAAAGATGGCTGTCCATGAACCAGGAAGTCCTCATCAAACATCAGATCTGCTGTGTGACGATCTTGGACTTTTCAGAACCCAGAACTGTGAGAAGTGAATGTTTGTTGTTTTTGTTTGTTTGTTTGTTTTTTAAAGATTTTATTTATTTGACAGAGAGAGACACAGCGAGAGAGGGAACACAAGCAGGGGGAGTGGGAGAGGGAGAAGCAGGCTTCCCACTGAGCAGGGAGCCCGATGCGGGACTCGATCCCAGGACCCTGGGATCATGACCTGAGCCGAAGGCAGACGCTTCACCGACTGAGCCACCCAGGCGCCCCTGAATGTTTGTTGTTTATAAGCCACCAGCCTCTGGTACTTTGTCATAGCAGCCCAATGGATGAAGATAGGGTTTGTCTGATGTCTCCTCAAGATTAGATTCAGGTGATGCATCTTGGGCTGGAATATCATAGAAATGATGCCACGCAGTTGTCACGGCTTCCTGTTAGGTGGCATACCATTTCAATTTGGCTCATTACTGATGATAACTTTAATCACTTGATGAAAGGGATGTGTTTCAGATTTTTCCATTGTAAAGTCACTCTTTTTCCCTTTGTAATTAGTCAGTATTTTGTTGGGAAGTATTTTGAGACTATGTAAATATCCTGTTCCTCATTAAGCTTGCAATTTGTTCATTTATTTCTAGCAGTGTGGACTCCTAGATTCCTATTTTATTTGGTGGGTTGTAATCTGTTGGTATCATTGTGATTCTGATGCTCAAATTTTCCCATATTTTGCCAGTGGGAGCCCCTCCCCTGTACCCCATTATTCTTTGAGCACTTCCTTACTTTTCAGTGTGACATGTTCTGGGCTCATCGTGTTCCTTGCTTGGCCCCACTCTGGAATTTGCCATTCCTCCAAAAAGGCGCAGTTCCTTTCAGTAAAGAATGGTATTTAGAAACTAAGATCTGGACACGAGGTGTGCTCATTGCTGGGGAGTTTACATTGCCTGTAGGCGCTCTCCGTGGACAGAAAAAGGGAATCCATCTGTAGAGACACAGACAGACATGCATATACACACACACATATTTTACATCTATATTTTTATGTCTGTCAAAGCACAGTGTGAGGCTCATGTTGGAGTGAGAGGTAGAGGCTGAGGTGTCTCCTGGGGGAAGGGGCCAAACCAGCATCTAGAAATGGGGGAGGTTCGTGACAGTTGCTGTGGGAGTGGGGCCTTCGGGGGGCTGGTTGCTGGTCCATGGAGTTCCCAGAGAATGAGCTGACGGGCAGCTGGCTAAGGCTTTACAGAAGTGATATCAAATCCCCAGACCTAGGGATGGCTCAAGCTCTGAAGGAATCCCCAGGAAGATGTGACCGTGCCACCAGGAAGCTGGCCCTCCACAAAGGAGACTTCTTCCCTGTGGGCCCTCAGGCACAGCCATGGAGGACAGTGAACTGGGGAGATTCTCTCAGGACCAGGCCCGGGCTCCCCCGTGGAGGAGTGAGCCCTGGCAGCCCAGCCAGCAGGGTGTGGTGTAGGCCGTGGGCTGGCAACCCCCAAAGGATCTTCCCCTTCTCCTCTTTTGCGAAGCCAGTCCTTACGGTGGATCATCTGTTTTCTCTCTGCTGTCATGGACTCGGCGTTTTGGGGTAGTTATATTTATAATTTCGCCACCGTGATAGATAAGAAGCCACATCCACCTCATTGAGAGAAATGCACATTACTCAGAGATCCTGATTTTAGAGCTGGTCATACTTGGATCATCTTCCTTTGGGAAGGAGATCAAGTTCATTTTTAGTTGTAGATGGCGTGGGCTCTTCATTTTAGTAAGAACATCTTAAAAATATCTCTTTTATTGAGGTGAAATTCCCATGACATTAATCATGTAAAAATGTACAATTCAGTGGCGGGTAGCGCATTTGCAATGTTGTGCAACCACCATCTCCATCAGATAGCCAGAGCGTTTTGAAAGCGCGTACACGAGGAAAGAAGGTCCGCGTGGATGCTGGGCAGGCATGGGGGGACGTGCAGGGTGTCTGCCCAGCACCCCTTGCTTTGGGGGACAACTCTGCTCCTACTCCCTGGGGCGCTGGCTGGATCTGTCCATGCGAGGGCCACCTCCTGCACTCACTTATGGGGGTGGGCATGTGACTCATGCTGTCCTACTGTTTGTAGAACCTGGGTCACGGTGGGCTTGTGACCAAGGCCAGAACAACTGAAGTGACCCTTGGAACTCTTCTGCTGGGGATGGCCCCTTGAGTGAGGGTAACGAAAAACAAAACAGAACAGTTACATGTCTCAGACCTTGAGGCTCGAGGTGGGGGAGGGGTTGTTGCTAAAGGACGTGGAGCTTCATGTCCTAGAAGCATTGGGGTGCTTCCTGAGGGGAAAGAAAACATTGTTCTTCCACTGGGATTCTGAACTGGGAGAAGGTTCGCCTGAGACTGCTGGCCACCATCTTGGAGTCTGACTCAAGGAGGAGAGAAAGTGCCAACACAATGGGGAGCAGGCAAGCGTGATGGAGACAGCGAGCTCAGGAGGTGGCATTTGAGTCCCCGGATTTACCTATTCCTGACTCTCCAACCCTGGGCTTCCCAATTGTCTAAACTCTAAACTACTGAATCCCTTTGTTTAAAATCTAGTTTAGGCTGGGATTCTGTCCCATGTGACTGAGAGTCTTGACGAATATAACAAGCCACATGGAAGGTAGGAGGAAGTGTCATCATTTGCTATCGATGAAGAACCTACGTGGATAGTGGCCTGTGATGCAGCTGTCCTGGTGGGTGTGACAAGCAGTGGGTATGAAGATGACCCAAGTGGTGAGTCACTGTGGGGTTGAAATCACCCAGCAGGATGGTAGGTGAGCCAGGTCCGGACATCAGGGAGGGGGTGCAGCAAAGGCAGGTGGAATAGTTTCAGAAGCTGACTGATGGAGAGGACATAAGGTCTAGCAGAGTGTGGGGGGCCAAGGGTAGAGTCTCATCTGAGTCAGAGGTGTGGGAACGGAGCCTTCTGCTGGAGTCGCCGGGTGGAAGATGTTAGAGGAACACGTTGTCGGTGAAGGAGCTGGTGCTGCTTTTGCTAAATGTGTCTGGTTCTCCCTGCTTTGAGATCCGTGGTAGTGTTTACTTCCTGGATCCTGATAGTTGAATGGAGCTGTAGGACTGGTTCCGGCCACTGAGGGACAGACGGCTGTGTCAGTGTGATATCCTCCTGTGCTCTCCTGGCGATGGTGGCTCTTCTGTCAGCCAGGGTCCCAGAATATTCCACGAGCTCTACCCCTCTGCAGACTTGCCACAGACATGTAACAGGAGCAGGAAAAACTTACGGTTTTTTTATACTTGATAGACTTAATTTATAGTTGTGCCATGCTCAATTTCTTTTATTGTGGTAAAATATGTGTAACATAAAATTGCTATCTTAGCCATTTTTAAGTGTAGAGTTCAGAGGCAGTAAGTACACTCGCATATTGTGCAACCATCACCACCATCCACCTCCAGAACTCTTTTCCATCTTTCCAAACTGAAGCTCTGTACCCACTAAACATGACTTTCCCACTCCTCACACCCACCCCCCAGAGCCCAGTCCCTGGCAGCTACTATTCTACTCTGTCTCTATGAATGCGACTACTCCAGGTACCTCATGTATGTGGAATCACACAATATTTGTCCTTTTGTGTCTGACTTATTTCACTTAGCAGAATGTCTTCAAGGTTTATCCGTGTTGCAGCAGCTTTCCGAATTTCCTTCCCTTTTAAAGGCTGAATAATATTCCACCGTATGTATACACCCCATTTTATTTATCTGTTCATCTATTCATGAACATCTGGGCTGTCTTCACCTTTTGGCTATTGCAAATAATACTGCTATGAACGTTGGTGTACAAATAGCAGAGAATATGAGAGTCTCTGCTTTCAGTTCCTTGGGTCTATACGCAGAAATGGAATTGCTAGATCAAATGGTAATTCTACGTTTAATCTTTGTGAGGAACCACCATGCTGTTTTCCACAGAACTTCTGTGATTTCAAGTCACGAAAATTTGGGGTTGTTTGCTATTGCAGCATAACCTAGCATATCCTGACTGATACTGCCCCTCGATCCAGATAACTTAGGATCAACCAGGATTCTGGTCAGACCACAGTGGAATGGACAGAAGTGAGGGGGTCTAGGAGCCCAAAGCCTAAATCAATCGGAGCCAGACCCAGTGTGATGTGTGGCACGGAGGGCCCAGTAGGGTTAGCGAGCACTGATATGCCTCTTCTTGGGACCACCTGGAAGGGCCTTCTCATGCCGAAGACATCAGGGCCAGGCTCTGGAACCAGCCCTGTAGCCACATGGTGGCTTCTTACTGGACACAAACCCCCTCTAACATGGTCAACTTGGGCCTCTTGACCCCAGCAACACAGATATCCAAGGTCACACACATTATGGGCTCCCAGTGACTTCATCATAAATAGTTCTACTCAATAGAAACTTACATTTGCCCTTCTTTGAGAATTTCAGCTTGTGGAGAGCAACTATAATGTTTTAAAAGTGCGATGTGGTCATTTCAGGGTCAGATGAACCAGGCATTGAATTCTGGTCCTGTGACTTCCCCAACTCTGTGGCTTTGACTAAACCTCAGTTTCTTCATCTGTAGAGTGAGGATAATATAAACTACCACACAGGTTTGGCACAGAAATGCGCCAAGTCCGGTGCCTGGCACGCAGGAGGCACTCAGGAAACAGTCGCTGCTATTTGGGGGCAGTATTATATAAGCCCTTGAGGAAGGGAGAGGTATGGCACCATCTTTCTAAACATGGTCTTCCCCTTAGCCACGCTCTACAGTATTTGCGGATGCCTATCTTGGTGTGGAAAGCAAAGCGGCAAGGAGCCGGCGATGCATGCATTCATTCAACAAATGTTTATTGAGAACCTACTGGGCGCCAAGTGCCAAGCTACAGATGTGGTTCTTGTCCTCATGGGAGAAACAGCACGAGTCTCTGGAACTGGACAGGTGGAATCCACGGGCAGCAGGGCCTGTCATCAGTGGCATGGGGTGACCACTTGAGTGAGGGTGACACTGAAAAAGGCCAGGACGATTGTGTGGAGTGGCCTCTGACCTTGAGGCTGGAGAGTGGGGAAGACTGGAGGATCTGGGAGCATTAGGGAGCTTCCAGAAGGAAAACCACTCAGACGAAAGTTGGGCTCCATGTCTCAAAGAGTTAGGTAACTCCGTTCCTATGCCCTCAAAGGGGCGAAGCTGGTGGGGGAGAAGGGAAAACAGGACTGGTTTCAGCACTGAGGGCCTGAGTGCCCATCTTCGGGAGCCCCCGCCCACAAGTGGGATGGTGGGTGCCTGGGGAAGGGAGCACAACATGTCCTGGGTCAGAAAGCTGACGGCACTGCCATGTAGCTGAAGTGCTAGGTGGACTGGGGGTGCACAGTAGAAGAGGCTGGTGGAGGTACAGGCAGAAGTGGAGAGTCAGGCTGCGGGGATCTGGGCCCTAGAGGTAGCAGTTGGGGAAGTGATGAGCAGAGGGTGGCTGTGCTGACAGAAGTAGAGATGCCCCAAGTCAGAAACCTGGAGCCCAGAGAACTCTCTGGGAAATGAGAACAACCCCCGCGGGAAAGGGGTGAGTAAGCGTGAGGGTGGAGTGTAGGTGTGCACAGAATCTTAGAGCTGGAAGGGATCTTCAATGTCATTTAGTTCAACCTCCCACCCCATGAGGTCTTTCAGTCTTCCACTGTCCAACTGAGGGCACTCAACTCTACTTGGACACTTCAAGGTACGGGGAGCTCACTCCCTCTAAGGGGACTCATCCTATAGAGCCTCCGGGACGGCCTGGATGGACCTGGCGCCTCGACCTTGGCTCTGTCGAGTGGGCTGGTCTCCATTCGGCGGCGGCACCTGGCGGGGGTGGCGGGTCGGGTGGGGATTGCGATGCGGATGGGCCGGCGCTGCTGTCCCCAGCCCCAGTGCTGAGGCAGGCAGAGTGCAGTGGGCTCTGGTGGAGGTCGGGAGAACTGCAGGGTGAAGGCCGCCGGGGGCTCCGCGGGCTGCTGGGGGGAGGCACTTGACACCGGCCCGGGGAGAGGAGGGGCCGCTGTCCCTGCGGCCAGTGCTGGATGCGGGGACCCAGCGCAGAGGCAGCTCCAGGTAGCGGGGCGCCCCGCGGGGGGGGGGCGCGGAGGAGGGCTGCAGCAAGGCCCCCGGCGGAGTGGCCCGGAGCGCGGCCGCGGCGGGGTGCCCAGGCCCAGCGCAGGGTCGGGGCACTGCGGGGTCCGGCCCTCCGTCTCGCAGCGTGCGGAGACCCCCGGCTGGCCCGCAGAGGCCGGGAAGTAGGGCCGAGGGCGCTAGGACCGGCCGCGCGCCCAGGCCGCTACCGCCGCGGCGCCCCGGGGCCCCCCAGTCGGCGCTGCCTCCCGGGCCGGCTCCGCAGCGCCGGGGCCGGGGCCAGCGCGGCCGCGGGGGGCGAGCAGCGGGCGGAGGCCTGGGCCCGCGGGCGGCCGGAGGGAGGGAAGGAGGAAGGCGGAGAGAAGGGGTGGGAGGGGGGGACCCGGCAGAGGAGGCGGAGAGAGGGAGCGCGACAGCGAGCGGAGGGAGGGAGCGAGCGAGGCAGGCAGGCGGGCCGGGAGGGAGGGAGGGCGCGCGGGCGGCGGCGGCGGCGGCGAGAGCAGAGGACGAGCCGGGACGCGGCGCCGCGGCACCAGGGCGCGCAGCCGGGCCGGCCCGATCCCACCGGCCACACGGTAATGAGCGCCGCTGCTGGCGGCCCGGGAGGCCGGCCCGGAGGCGGGCAGGGAGGAGGGGAGGCCGGGCGGGGGGCACGGCGGCGGGCAGTGCCCGGCTCGGGGCACACTCTCGGACCCCTGCAACTCGGCGCCGGGCGCTCGCGGGGCCAGGGCTGCGGGCGGGGACGGCGGGCCGGGCTGGCCAGGGCGGCGCGGGGGATTTGAGGGTTTGTTTATGTCCCCGCGGGCTCGGCAGGCGCCCCCTCCCGTCCCGCCCGCTCCCGGCGCTGAGCCCCCTCCCCGCCCCCGCCCGGCTCCGGGCTCAAGTTCAAGTCTATACAATGCCGCGGGGGGCCCCCCTCCACCGCCGGCCTCAGCCGTGGTGCCCGGCTCGGCGCTGCCGCAGGGGCCCCGGCCTGGCCGCCCCCGCCTTCCGGGCCCTGCCCCCGCCCCGGGGCCCCGCCTGGGGCCTGCGGCCGGGGCGCTGGAGGGCGCGGACCCCGACCCGGAATGATCGGCTCCCGCCGCGGCCCGCAGGGAGCGGGGGAGGGGGCGGGGGCCGAGCCCCGCGCAGGCTCCGCGGCGGCGGCAGAAAATGGCAGCCTGGCACGACCCGGCCCCCCGCCCCTCCCCCCGGCTCCCGGCCCTCCTCGGCCCGGCGGGGCGGGGGACCCGGGAGGCCCCCGGGGGCGGGCCGAGGGGTGATCCGGGGGCCGGGCCGGGGAGCGCTGCGCAGCGATCCTCCTCCGGCCACCTGTGGCTGGGGGTGCGGGGTGCCAGCGGATCTGGGAGGGGCGGCGGGGGTGGGGAGAGTGCCACTTGGGGGGCACACCTCCCCGCGGAGGGCCGGGCGGCGCGCGGGGGGGACGTCGTGCCTGGCTCCTCCCTGCCCCCGCCGCGGGCCGTGGGAGCCGGGGCGGCGGCGGCGGCGGCGGCGGCGGCGGTGGCGGCGGCGCCGCAGTGTGGGGGCGGGGCGGGGGCGGGCGAAGATCCCGGGCCGGGGCCCCCGGGGCCGGAAAACGCGGGGATGGGAGCTGAGGGCCAGGGCCAGGGCCAGGGCCAGGGCCGGGAGCGGCGCGAGTAGGAGCGCCCGGGGTCGCCCCCCGCAGCAGCACCCCCCGTCGTACACACTCACACGCACGCGGACACACTCACGCACACGCACCCCCGCTGGGCCGGTGCAGACGTGTCCTTGAAAGCTTCGCATCTGTACAGTGAAGGACGAGGCCTCGCAGAGGCTGCAGATCGGGGTCTTCGGCCCCGCGGCCCAGCACCCCGGACACCCCGAGCTTCGGAGCCGCAGGCTGCCGCGGTCCGTGTCCCGCCCTCACCCCGGCTCCCCTCCCCCAGGCCGCCCTGCCCTCCCTCCCCCTCGGCGCGCGGACCGAGCTGGCGTGGGTCCAGGGCCCGCCCCCGGCCTCCCCCAGCCCCCCATCGCTGGGGCCCGCGGCCTGCCGGCTGCCAAACTGCGTTTCGCTTTCCTGGAACCTCCCTTCTTGGGGGCACCCACTCCCCTCCCACCCCCTCTCTGTTATTTCCCACTTTTCTCTTCATCCCCACGTTCTTCCACCTCTCTCTACTGCAAAGCCAGTTGAGTAGGTGTTGCTGCCCTGGTTGGGGAATGGGGGGCTTGCTGAGTCTCGGGGTCTTTCTTCCCCTGCTCCTGAGGGGAGCCCCCTGTGGCTGCACCTTGACCCAAGATGGCGTCCAGCACCCAGCTGGGCAGCTCCGGCCTCAGGGCGGGGGAGGAAGGGCGGCGGGGGGCGGGAAGGGGGAGCCCAGAGCCGCTCCACGCGTCCCCTCTCAAACCAGCAGGGACAGGAGCCTGGACGAGAAGCGCCCTCTGCCCTGTGACCCAGCTTGCCCCTCGCCGCCATGCCCAGAGACTGCCATCAGCATCCCTGGGGGACTGTTCGGTCTTCATGTTTCACCCTGGGCTGCCAGCGGCCGAACCGGCCTCCAGCCTCCTGGGCTGGCGGGCTGTGAAGGGATCCTGGGATCAGGTGCTGCTCGCCTGTGTCTCCTCCCTTCCAGGCAGATGGGACAGCTGCAGCCGGGGAAGCTTTTCTCCTTAGGCGTTGCTGGAGTGTGAGGACTGGCTTGTGGGATCTGGGGAGCCCAGCTGTCAGGCGGAGGGACCCTCTTTGGGCTTGTCCTCTCTGCTGGCAGGGGCTATCTTCTGGTGGTTTCCTGAGCTGCCTGGCTTCGGGAGGCTGCGGTTGTCAGGAGTTCCTGCTAGGTTTCTGGGGCAAGGTGGTCCCCTTCCGCCTCCAGGTCCCGTTGAGGAGAGCCTGGTTGGGCTGTTTGACAGGCCACTCTGTGAACGCGTGAGTGTGCGTGCATGTGTGTGCGTGTGTGTACATGTGCTGCGCCCGGGCAGGGGCCGGCCAACTGTGCTTCGGCTCTGGCACCTGCCTGCCTCCCTCCCTTCCCCGGCCCCACTTCTTTGGGCCCTGGCTCCCTCTGCACTCTTGTCCAGCTGCTTGGTTCTTGTCTGCAGCTACTCCTCAAATGCATAGCCCCCCAGCTCAGGCTGACCCAGGCTCTCTCCTTGTTTTCCACCCCAGGCACAGGGGGGCTGCAATAGGAGGCCGGCCTGAGAAAGGTGAATTCCTTCTAGAATCGAGGACTGCCGGGTGCACAGTGCGAGGGCTGCCCCCCCCAACCCTGGAGAGGACACCGGACCGCACCGCGGCCATCTGACAGGGTGTCCGCAGACAGGATTCCTCTGTGGGGTGGGGGTTGGACTGGAGCTTGGAGGTCCGTTCCAACTTTGAAATTCTATGGCTCTGATTCTAGTGATGGAATTTCAGACCCAGGAATGGGGGTGGGGTGGTCTGTTTTCACCACACAGGGGTAATCCGGAAGGGCTTCCAAGGAGAGGAGGTCTGAGAGAGCAAGGCCTCCTGGGGGCTTGGGGCTTTGAAAGAAAAAGGTGGCGTGAGGGGTGGGGGCCCTGCAGGGAGAGAGGTTTGTCTCAGGTGACTCCACAGAGAGTGTAAAAATACAGCCTCCCGGGTAAACCTTCACACGTGTGTGTCCTTCTGTAGGCTTCCATGTGTAAATCCGTGTGTGTATATAATTTCTGAGTTTTTTTTCCCCCCAAGTCCAATTCACAATATGCTCTCAAGTCCCGTGTGGATATTTTCCTATCACAGTCACGCATCACTGCCAAGGGCCCTCTGAAAAAGGCTGCAAGAAATGCAGGACAAGCTGTAAGATACTTGCCCAGAGTGACTTGTCCCCTGGGGAATTTACACTCTCCCCTGCTCCCGCTCTCTCCCATAAGCCTGTGGTCTCCACAGGACAAGGACCTTGACTTGGCTGCCTCTGGGTCCCCCATCAGACATTTAGCGAGACCTCCATGGGTGTCTGCTGAACGGCGGGGGAGCTTGCTACACATTTGTGATTTTGGTCCCTGTCCTCTCCCTAGCTGTGGCCAGGCAAGGCTTCTTTTGTTGGGAAGCATGTGGGGAACTCAGAGCAGTCTTAGCTGCTCCCCAATTGGTAAGTTAAGAATAGACCACTCACTCCCCATCACTGGGCCTGAAATGTTACCATCAGTATCCAAGCCTTACAATGTAGGGTTGAAAGAGAACTTTCAGTGCTGAGAGCACTTGGAGTTGGGTTGGGGGCTGTTTGGGTGTGGGGCCAGGCTGGGGTTGGGAATTCTACCCAGAGCCTGAGGCCAGAAGAGCTGATCCTGCGCCTTTCTCTGTTCCCTTCCTACTGCTTGTGTGGGCCTGGGGTCCCTGACTCCGACTGTGGTGTGTGGCGCAGCCCTTGGCAATTGGAGCCCCCACCTGCCCTTTGAGGCTGGGCATCTACATGGGCCTACGTTTTGCTGCTCCTGAGGGCTTTCATGATAAACTAAGGTGCCAGATTCCTTTCCCCCCAAATCTTGAGGGCTTGTTTTCAGTCAGGTCTCTGACTATTTTTCCCTAAAAAAAAAAAAGAAAGAAAGAAAAAACCAAAACCAAAACCAAATCTGAGATCCATGAAGTGTCAGAGAGGTGTGTGTGTGTGTGTGTGTGTGTGTGTGTGTGAGAAGCCTGCCTCCACTTGGCTGGGTGTTGTGGGCAGGACAGGGTGTGGCGCACGTGTGTCTGTGCAGACTTCTCTGTGCATGGTGTGCAGCCGCGTGGGGAGGGAGGTGACTTGCTTAGACATGAGTCCATTTCGAGGCAGCCCAAGTGAGGGCCCTGGAGTCAGCCACTTCCCTGCCTCGAGATCCGGGGCAGCTAACTTAGTGGCTCTGTGCCTCAGTTTCCTCACCTGTACCGTGGAAGTGAGACGTGGCTGTACTTAAGGTTGTGGTGAGAATTCCAGAGCATGGTGTGTGTCACTTCCTTAGCGAAGTGGCAGCGCGCGGTGCTTGGGCAGTGTGGGTGGACCGATGCTACGCGAAGTGCGCTCAGAAGCCTGGTCCACCGTCCTGCCTCTTTTGCACAATCTTGGACAGCAGAGGAAAGGGCTGATTCTGATTGACAGAGCTTCAGAGGGGAGGGCTCCTCAGTGCCACTTGGCAGTTGGTTCCCGAGTGTAACGGATCACACTGCGAACAGGTTGTCTGTGTGCTCACCTTAAATCCCTCATGCTGTAGTTCCAGCTCTTTCTTCGGCCCCATGTTTGCTTGCTGAGCATTTCCTGTGGGCAAGGCCCTGTGCTAGGATTTGAGGGGACACAGAGTGAGTTAGGATGAGCCCAGCTAATTAATGACCACAGAGCAAAGTCACAGGAGAGGGAGAAATAAAGCGCTCGAAGGACCATGAGGTCACAACGAACTGAGGGGATCAGGGACAGCTTCTTGGAAGAGGTGGTACCTAAGATGGGCCTTAAAACACTGAGGTGGGGCTTCCAGGCTGAGGGGAGGAAGCCAGGCTGTGGGGGATGGGGTGGCTGGAGTGTGGAGGAGATGCTGGGTGGGGGTGGGGGGGGGGGGGGGTGGAGTGGGGCCCTGGGTGTGCTGGGGGCCAGGCTGAGGCCGCACATTGGTTTGGGGAGAGCGGCCCCTGTGCTCTGTAAGTCCTGCTTGCCCTGTGTGGATGGTCGTTTTGAACCGCCCTGTTGGTAGTGGTTTTGTGGGGTGGAGTGGGGTGGGGAGAAGCCAGAAGGACGAAAGGGAGGGCAGGGAAGGGGCCAGCTGAGCTCATTTGGTGTAGGCTCTTGATGATCCCTTTATATTCCATAGACGACTAGCGCTTAAGAGCTCAGACTTGGAGGGAAACCGAGCACATTTAAATCACATCAACCCCAGGGCGCTGTGACCATTAAGGGGAACACCAGCCAGGGTAGGATGGGCTTGCCCATGGTTGAATGGGGAGGAGGAGGGCCCCTGGCTTGGCCTTCCATTGCTTCCCCTCACCCAGGCTGAGGTACCCTGGCCTCCAGAACAGTCCTGCAAGGGGCTACCAATAGGAGGGAAATGGGGGCCACAGAAGCTGACTCTGCCCTTCCCTCCAGTCTCCCTCTGCCACACGCAGCTGAACTGAGCCCCCCGGCTCCGAGGGAATGTGACCCGGGCGTGGCTGCAGGTGCCTGGCAGCCCCCAGCAAGGACGGCTAGTGGTCAGGGCCCTCCAGACCACATCTCCCTCGCTGATCACATCCAGGCCAGGCCTGTCTGGAGGACAGCGACAGGGGGAGGAGGTGCAGACGTCTGGGGCTTTCCTAACTGTATCCCAGTAGGGAGTGGAATTTTTTTCTTTCAACCATAGCTCAGCATGGTCCACTCCTGCCCTGCTGAGGTCCCCTCTGACCCCTAAGGCTTCCCAGCCTTATTTACTTCTATACCCAGGTTCCTATTTTCTCTTTCCTGCGGTCATGGCCCTGCTCACTGTCATCCCTATTGATCTTCCCTCTCTGTTTCTGTTTCAAATGTCAAGGTCATTTTTATTCTGAGCCAGTTGTTAGCCGCCCTGTCTGGGTGCACTGAGGGGACAGAGGGCCATCTCTGCCAGCTAGTAAGAGGAGGGTCAGAACTTGGGTGTTCTGACTTCTACTCTCGGTCTCTGCTGCTGTGCTGTGTGGACGGATCTGGGGCTTGGTGCAGATGTTCTGGACCTAATAGCTCACCTAGATCCCTGTGTTCCAGTGGTCCTTACTCGAACAGGTTAAAAGATGCTGATAGGGGACGTTATGGGACGGTGGGGTCAGATCTGTGGTTTACTGAGCACTGAATTGGACCGGGCCGTGTCACGGTAAATGTCGGGGAATGCTTGAGCTGGGAGGCTGGGGCCTCTGGAAGTGTTCCTCCCCTCAGAGGTTCCCCAGAGGACCCTGAGAGGGGCAGGTGAGGGCACGCAGGCCTGTACCTGGCAGGAGGGATC